GTTTTAGAAAAGTTTTATCTGACCTGTTTACCATTAAATAAAACTAGGTTACAGAAACTGTATCACCTTCATGAGCATAATTGCTATTAATTTCTAATTTCCTGTAGCCTTAGATAGGTTTAATGGTACCGAGAACTAATATCAAGTATCATATGTGAACGACATATCCTGTCGTGTTGAATGTTATCTAATCAATGTCACTTCCTTCATTTAAGTACAAGTTGCCCTTCTTACTTCACTATGTTTTCTTTATTATTACTGCTTTCAAAGTTATGTAATGAACAGCCTACTTTGTTAGTACGAAATCTTGTCGCTACTGTTATTGCAGAAACCAGATTTCCCTTTGTTGTGTTTACGAAAATGGCTCCATAATGTTTCAAGACCCCAAAAGCAAAATAGTATCTCCCTTTATCAATTCAGTTTTTGTCAAATGGAGATTTGACGAAATATTTTAAACTAGCTGTTGCCCGCGACTTCGTCCGCGTAGAATATGATTTCTGTTTTATCCCAAGAGAGCATTTAATCGAGTTAAAAAGTATCACCTAAGTCAGCCCATACCCTGCCTGTATACCAAATTTCATGAAAATCCGTTCACTAGTTTCAGCGTGATTGACGGACAAACATCCAAATAAAGAAACTTTTACATTTATAATATTAGTATGATTTTATTCATCCTCGTGAACTACCATATATCCATGGTTCTTAAAATAGTAGAGCAATAGATCCATTTGAGTAGTGATCTACGGTTTTCTAATGTTTTTTTTTTTGAATAAAAAACATTAACATTCACTTAAATTTAGTAGAAAAAAACCTTTATTTCACATACTTAAATACTTTAGCCTACTAATGAGAGTAGTATTTCACCTGATAGTGATGGTAAACACGTCTCTGTCTAATAGATAACCTCTTTATTTTAATGAATTGTTAATTATATTGATACATATTTTACTAACAATGTTTCATGTTAATTATACGTTTATTTTTTTATACAACGACGGTGGCATAAAAGCACACGGCCCACCTGGTGATAAGGGGTTACCGTGGCCTGTGAATGCTTGCAACACCAACTGGATCATTCAGGTACATATCTCAAAGGTTCGTCAAAAAGAGATATGGTAGTTGACAACTAGTCAAATTCAATACTTTTATAGAAACGTCAAAACTGTTCTATGAATTTTGTACGAAATACCATCTTATGATGTCATCATATTTTCGCGTCAAATAGCACACTTACACCAAAAAAAACTAGAATACATCGAAAATTAAGTATATCGGTAAATCAATTAAATCGGTAAATTAAAAGGGAAGAGAAAAATAAAAATAAATTTAAGACTAAATTAAAAAAATATCTGTTTAGCACACTACCATAACCACATGTATTTAAAATTAATCATAACCATAACCATTATCATAGTAAACTACAAATACCTACTAAATAGTAATTTAAATATAGAAGATCCAACAGTCAAACTATTTACATATAGTTTTGTTGGACATGGCGTTAGATTATAAGGCATACCATGTACCTTTATTATTAATAAATAAATAAAATAAAATAAATTAATGAAAGTGTAACTATTTTTCAATATTTAATTGGACTGAAAAATCCCAGGAAACTACTGAATTGTCCCAATGCACAAAACACAAAGAAATAAGATAAGGAACGAACAATACAATAAATAAATAAAATAAAATAAATTTATTTCAGACATACTGGGTCCATACATTTACAGTTTAATATTATGAAATATATATAATTCTTAATTAATTTAATTTATTTAATTTAATTTATTACATTATAACACCGCACTATCAATCATTGTTATATTTTATAAAAAAAATAATTAAAACGTCCCTGTTTCATCATATCTCAAATCATACATTGGCATGAACTGTCCACACATTACACACATAACTCCACAATTAATATAGCACATTATTACTAACTATTATATTTGTTAATAAATTGAACACACAAAATTAATAACAAAGTTTCTATACAATTATGTGGATTACAAGTATGTGTTACTCTCGTCCGTGCGTCACTGCAGGGGTGCCAACTGAAAATCAGTGTTGGGTGCTCATTGTGCCCAGCTTTATGCTGCGTTGGTGACCCGTTCGGATTGGACATGTCCGCCAACACCGCGCACTTGAATGGCTTATTGAATTTAAAAGTTAAATTATAAAACTAAAACAAGCGTTTTAGTTTTATAATTTAACTTTTAAAACTAAAAAAGCGTTTTAGTTTTATAATTTAACTTTTATCTTTTAATTTTTCTGTTTTTATGCTTTTTTTATATTCATATGTCTTTTCTGGCGTGCATGTCTTATGCCGAATAAACATTTTTCATTTCAGTTCATTTCATTTCATAATAATACAATAATTAATTTATAAAAAAAACTCTTATAATTTATTCTAAATACTTTTGTACTGTTTACTTTATTATTATTTATTTATTATTGTATGTTTTATTATTATAAAGCTTAAGAGTTTGTTTGGTTGAACGTACTATAATCTCCGGAACTATTAGTCTAATTTGAATAATTATGTCTCTCTTGGATAGCTGATTTATCGAAGAAGGCTATAGGCTAAAACATCACACTATGACCAATAGAAGCCGAACAGTGACTGAAATCGCGAGAAAGTAGCCAGTTATTTATTGATAATGGAGTAGATTTTCGATTTAAGACGTTTATTTCTTTAAAAATATGCTTATGAAAAAGACATGCGTCAATTCAAACTAAATATCAAAATAATATTTAAGTAACATTTACATGATTAAGAAAGAAGAAAGCAAATATTATAAAGTTTGTCTGACCGAAAATAAATATATAAAATATAAAAATTAGCAAGTCTATTTTCTGCTGTTGTTTACATTGAATAAAAATGACGATAGGTAATTAATAAGTATCATAATAACATATTTGTACAGTTTTATTTATTAATTAATACATTACCATATATAATTCTATACATAGGTACTGAACGGAACTGTAATGTAATTTTGCATTGCCAAATGACCCATTGTCCATCAATTGCCAATTGTTACCAAACATGGTGTACAATGTATCATAGCTCCTAAGGAGTGTGATCATGAACTTGTTGTGTTACAAGTATCGTTTATTTCTTAAGTACCATGGCCAGCAGGCAAACGTATCCTTTTCTGTGAAATTTCTCTATTACATTTTCAACTTTAATGTATTGACATAAAGTCTGAAATTCAATGAATAAATTTGACAGATTGGAGTGGGTTGATCTGCTGGCCACGGTACTTACTTTTTGATTTAGAGGAAGTAAGTAAGCAAACCTTCATAGGAATGTACTTTGATCGGTTGTGATAGGTCATTCATAGGTAGTCGTGGTGGTGATGGACAAATATATATTGAATTATATAACGAACCCGGCAAACTTTGTACCGCTTCAAAATTCGTTTTTTCACCTTTTAAACCTTCCCTGGACTTTTCTTTCCACGATCACTTCAAGACCAAAATTGTCCAAGTCTGAGATTCAAGAACGGAAACTCATTTTTATTTGTATATAGAGCAATCTTCAACAGTTATCTTAGTCATAATATGGGTTATTTGAATTAAAATGCTTTGACTAAGGCTTTCTAAATCATTATCATTAGCCGAAAGACTCTGCTGAACAAAGACTTGCCCGGAAGCTGGGCGCAGTTCGCCAAGTGAAACAAAAACATGCCATTTATGTCTAATAGCTTGGCATTTGACTTATTAAATTGTTTTTTTGTTTTCAGATGAAAGTGTTTATGGACATGAAGCCAGGCGGGTCCCTGTGCACGGTGCTCGCCACCATGTTCCGCTTCAAGTCGGAGCAGCGGTGGCGCAAGTTCGACTTCCAGGTCGGTAAGGTATGCACTACCCCGCACGCCGCCTCGCTCACCGCCAGACCGCAGCCCCCGCCGCCCCGCAGACCTTGCCCCGCACCACGCGGCTCTATAACAATGCATCACTTGTTCTCTAACTACATGCATCTGATCTATTACCACTTTATAATAATAAATAGCCTCATTAGTCGACGCGCAGTTAAGTAAGGGAGCGTCTCAACCCTATGGGTGATACAGACTGCCAGAAGACGAACTCTAATCAAAGGTCAACGAATTTTCGACTTTGTAACAGGAGTATTAAGTTCAAAATCGATTTAATAATGACAGATTGCAGTTGTTTAGTCTTGTAGCGTCTACATTGAGGAGTGAATGTTTTAGTCATTTGTCTCAAACAGAGATGCCGTCATAGCATGGCTCAAATTCGAAGACACTGGGATCGTGACTGGCTTATAAAATTATAATTATCAAGTCTATAAATGTATTGTTGAAATAGTAATATGGGCCTGTATGATTTATTGATTTTATTCCTTAAAAATAATCAGTGTCAGATGTATGTAGTTACGAGCACAAATGCACGAAATGAAATGAGGGTACTATTAACATAAAGGTACAAAGATAATTAAGCAAATCAACTTAAATGATATATTTATTTTCTAAATATTTTAGTTTAATTTTCAATTTTAAAAACGTAAGTAAAGTACTTTAAGATTCGGCTTTCTTACGAAGTTTAGTTGTTGAAGCAAATATTTGATTATTTTGCACAGTTTGTGATAATTTCTATTTAGTGATGTGTTGTTATTGATCACAGTCTCCGTAGATGACACACACGGGATCTATAGAGTAACACTAGACGAACTTCTCTAGCTTGAAGGTAGCAGTTCCCAACGTTCCATTATACTTGTACCATTTCATGCTCGGGCCATTGTCGAGTCTTCTGGGATTGTTGTACTATGGTTGTACTCTGTGTGTAAATAACGGGCACTTCCAATAACACGTTCTTGTGTGTGTTTGTGTGATTAATAACCTTAACTCCTTACATTATGTCTGGTATGTCACTAATACAAATGGGTCGTTGATCACCTTTACTGTTTGTTGTTGCATGTCTTAAGTCATTTTCTATACAACCTGGGTGTACTTTTATTGTCAAAATTTTTTTGTTTCATTTTTTTATTACTTTAGTATTTGTTGATAAGTTTATGCAATTCTTATTTTCAAGTTGTTTAACATTGTAATAGCACATTATAAATTGAGAAAAATGATAAGTTGCCATTTAGATCTTTCAAATGATTAAAGAATTAGTTCAGTACAGATATTACAGTTCATTCACCTCTAGTAAGATCATCATCTAACATAAAACTTGTTTCTGGTCCCCTCCCCCACTCCCACCTTTCCAGAATCCTTCGCGTAAGGACCTGAACGTGCAGATGATGATGGAGATCGAGTCCTCGTTGCTCGGCGCTGAAGTCATCCGCTCGCCCTGTGTCTTTATACGACCTGACGTCGACAAGGCCACCGCCAACAAAGTCAAGGATATCGTCGGTAACCATCAAGGAGAGATATGCGGTAAGTGGAACTCTGCACTAAATAATTGTTATTGAACAATTTATTTTTAAACGATTTAATTTGATATTATTGTAGCACAGAGAATTTGTGTAAGAAAAAACACATGTAAAGTTATGTTTTTAACGAAAAAAAAATATTTTCTTGTTGCCTTGTATTGTATGATTTATAAGGAGGAAACTTGTAGATACGGCATTAATTTTTTTTATTGCTTATTCAGTTCATTTACCAATTCAGCTAAAGATTAGGTAAAGATTGTATTTTATGTTGAAACCATTATTTATTAAATAGTTTTTTTTCCTGGAAAAATATATGTGTGCACACCTGCTTTTATTTACCTTGAATGGATTATAGTTTAAATTGGCGTTTTCGAAATTGTCTAAAGTGATAATTTTGACGAATCAGAATTCTCTAAAGCTTCATTTACCTATTGCGATCACTGAACCACCGGAATATGGTGGAACATCTCTTAAAGAGTACTTAGACACAACCGTAATAGACAATACTAATATGAACGCCTGTACGGACAGAAAGACAAGTTATTACGAATGTTTAATTAAAATAAGAGGCGTTTAGGTCTATTGGAGTAAATGATTTGACTTCGATGACGCGCGTGCTATTTACTATATAATATACGACAGAGGATGAAGAGGACGCGACGCACATCGTGTACCCGACAGTGGACCCGCTGGAGGAGGAGTACGCGCGGCCTGTGTTCCGGCGCGGGAACCATGTACTCGTGCACTGGTACTATCTGCCCGACAGCCACGACACTTGGGCGCAAGCTGACTTGCCCGTATGTATTACTTTACTAACCATTTATTGTAAATATTGGATTTTTTTTATGGCATAAGCCGGTAAACGAGCAGACGGATCACCTGATGGTAAGCAATCGGCGTCGCGTATGGATACCTGGAACACCAGCGGCGTTACAAGTGCGTTACCGGCCTTTTGGGGAATTAGGAGTTTGAGGATCGTTGGGGATTCAGGAATTGGGGAGATTGGGGAAGGGGACGGTAATTGGGCCTCCGGTAACCTCACTCACACGACGAAACACAACGCAAGCGTTGTTTCACGTCGGTCTCCTATGAGGCCGTGGTATCACTGCGGTCGAGCCGGCCCATTCGTGCCGAAGCATGGCTCTCCCACACTTAAATATTATTATATTTTAGGATTTAGCTTAGTTCAGACCAGTCAATCACTGAAACAGTCAATAAAATACACTTTTGTACATAAACTTACCTCTGTAGACAGAAGCTACCGAGAGCCATCTACTATCTTTTCCATACTATCTTAGATTCCAACTTTTTCGTGCATCTGGCTAAGCACACCGTAGCACATGACAGAATTTGATAACCGACCTTAAGTCTAAATTAGTAAGTTTTTAAACAAAAAATTAAGAAAATCAATCTTATTCCAAAGATTTTAGGTTGATATTGGTTATTAATTTCAACCGTAAGAGGGGTCTCTACACTTCAACTTTGTATTGCAAGTAATAAACAGAAAATACGCATGTTTGTAGGTGGACGTGCCAGAGACCGTGAGCTGGGACTGCAACCGGTCGGAGCCGTGGCGCGTGTCGGCGTCCTGGGCACTCGACCTGCCGCAGTACAACGAGTGGATGAACGAGGAGGACTACGAGGTCGACTCCAATGGGAAAAAGAAGGTTAATAAATAAATTAATAATGGTTCATGTACCGTGTTCACTGACGGACTGACTGACAGACTATTATTTATTTTGTATTTGTTGACGTTTCAAAAGTACCAAACTATGGTTTAATTGAAATAAATGCTTTGACTTTGACTTGATATTATAGAAACTGGTTAATACTAGTTATGGTTACAGATCGATAATATAGCATGCACAATTTCAAAAAAAAAAATCGTTAAAAATGCTCTTTCGAAATTCAAACGAGCTAAATCAAACAATATATTCTGTTGTGTATGATTATCTGGTCTATCCCGTCTATCCGAGACCAACCGGTCTTCTAGTGAATTTATTCGCTCGTTTCAAAGTAAAACTGAGTGCACACTGACGTATTTCTTCTAGGTCCACAAACTACGTCTGTCAGTGGATGATCTGATTCCGGGAGCTGAACCCTCAAGCAAGTCCAAGAAAGGCAGCAAGAGGAAACGATCTCCTTCACCACCGCCGCAGAAACATGGCAAGAGAAAGAGGTAATTTGTCACAAATTTTCGAGCATAAAATAACAGTTGTTGCGCAACAATGCTTTACTTTGCGCAAAATGTTGAATGTTTTGAAAATTAAAAAAAATATTTTGTTTGACAGTCGCATAACCAAACGTCGCGAGAATGACGTTGATGAAGAAGAAGATAACGCATCTCGAGATAACACTGACGCTGTGCCTACACCAGAGAATGAAAGAGCTGCCGAGAGTGAGATATTTATTAATTTAATTTAACCATTCAATTGATCCTATACTGAGTATGTATACAATTTTACATGATCTCAAGCCTTTTATTACGAAATATAAGTACTTATGATTAATTTTATGTTGTACTAATTTTTAATAAATTATGTCATTAGTTCCATGTAAAGTGGGAACTAGGTGATGCATTAAGAAAATGCGCTTTGATGCGTTGCGTATGTCTGTGTTTCTCCCAACATGGCGTGGTTTTTAGTCAGTAAGATTGACATTCCGTCCTTAACATCAGTCGCGGGAAGAAACCACAAGGTTGTGGGTTCTTGTATTACAAAATGCGCATTTAAAAGCTGGCGCGGTTCCGCCCTAGTGCGGCTACATGTTGATACCCGATGTTGTTGTGCAGCGAGCGCGGCGGCCGGCGGTGCGGCCGGCGGCGCGGCCGGGCCGGCGGCCGACGGCGCCAGCGAGGCGCCCGCCACGCCTGCGCCGCCGCTCGACGCGCACGACGACTCGCAGGGCAAGCACAGCGACTCCAACACGCAGGTACCATACACTGCTGCCATAGCCACGCGGCTTACTTACGTTATAAATTAAACGGACTTTATTTGTGACAAGAAAAAACAAACACTTTACTTATGTCATACTCAAACCGGTTCATAAAATTTTGATCAGTAACATACTTATCTTAAAATTGAGTCCTCCCAACTCTTCAAAAATACTCCACTTTTTCCCCAAAATGTAAATGTTATACCACATTGGCTGATAAGTGTTAGATACAATATTGTAGTACAATTTGAAACCATTTTCCAAATACAATCAAACGTTCAGTACCTACCTACGAAAATTTGTCTTAACGCAATATTGCGCAGAGTAATAATGCGCTAAGATTATTTACACAATAATGTTGTACATTCTCAGGAAATGCTAACAAAAGAGGAGTTGGAGGACAATGTGACGGACCAGACCCACCACATAGTAGTACCGTCATACTCCGCGTGGTTCGACTACAACTCCATACATACCATTGAGAAGCGAGCCCTGCCAGAGTTCTTCAACGGGAAGAACAAGTCCAAGACTCCTGAGATATATCTCGCTTACAGGTACGTGTTATATTGGCTTTATCGACCTGGGTCTAATTAGAGCGATTACATTTCCCGTATTCCACAATAAAATATTACACAACTTTTACTTACTCATGATTAGCTGTACATAGTTTTGAGTTCTTCGCAAATAGACTGACAGTGGCGAGTTTGTAAGTTTTTGTTATACGAATGCATTCATAATGACATAATTACGATACACTTTTAACTTTCAGGCCTATGTTTAATTCTTTCTTTGCATCATAGCACTCTAGTCTATAATGTAATCTTTACAGAAACTTCATGATCGACACATACCGCCTGAACCCGACGGAGTACCTGACGAGCACGGCGTGCCGTCGTAACTTGGCCGGCGACGTCTGCGCCATCATGCGCGTGCATGGCTTCCTCGAGCAATGGGGACTTATCAACTACCAGGTGAAATATTCATTTCGGCCCTTAATCACATTACTTCAAAACTTAATTTATGGAAACTCCTTTCAACTAATGTCAATTTGGGTTTAATTTAGATCGTAAATGAAACATCAGCTTTTTATTGGTTAAAAGTCTCATATAATAGGGAACAAACTTATAATCATACACAGGGCGCAGTTCTAGACGTCTTGATATGGGGCGAAACCCCGCTGCCGCGCCAGATAGGTGCGTGGCGGGATGAGCTCCGGCGCGATCTCATGGCGGAATGGCAGCAACGACTGTCGCAACCGAGGGCTGGGCTCGCTGCCATCGCAGCGGTAAGTCCCCTCTTTGAGGAGTGGCTTGAGAGACGCTACGGCGTCCTCACCTACCGCCTGACGCAGGTCCTCACCGGACATGGAAGTTTCGGGAGGTACCTGTGTCTGATGGGGCGGGAGGAAACGCCCGGGTGTCATCACTGCGAGGGCCGCCCTGAGGACACGGTGGAACACACGGTGGGAGAATGCCCTTCGTGGGCTGAGCACCGCCGTGTCCTCAGGGAAGTGATCGGCGATGGCGACCTCTCGCGTCCGGGCCTAGTGCAGGCCATGATGCGGAGCGAGGGGGATTGGGATGCCGTCTCCTCCTTTTGCGAAGCAGTCATGCTAGCTAAGGAGGAGGCGGGACGCGTGAGGCAGCGAAGCGCTGCCTCCTCGCAACCCAGCCATCGCGAAGGACACACCGGGCGTCGGGGATCGCGGGACGATCTCCGGCCACCGTAAGCGCGGGCCTGCGGACGGCGAGCATGGGTGGCTCCCCGTCCGACCAGAAACAGACCCGAGCGTACGGCGCGTCGCGTTCCGCGCGCGCCTCAAAGAGCCATCAGACCACCACAGATGGGGCCCAATAGGGCCGATGCCGATTCGGAGTCGCGGAGAACCTAACGGGTAACCGGGGCTCCGGCTCGACGTGCAGGAGAAGGAACGGGGTGGTTTTTAGTCAGTAAGAGTCTGACACTCCCTCCCGCCTCACCCAGGCGGGGGCAGTCATTCGATGATCTTCCCCCCTTAAAAAAAAAAAAAAAAAAAAAAAAGACGTCTTGATATTATTGAGAGAAAAAATCTAAGCCTCTCCCGGAACCATTTACAGCAGCACTCTTTATTTTGTGCTATAATTTCATCATCAACATCATCAGCTCGTATTCGTCCACTGCTGGACATAGGCCTCTCCAATAGCACGCCACTGAGCTCGGTCTTCAGCTCTTCTTCAGCTCTTCTCATCCAACCACTGCCAGCCACCTTGCGGATGTCGTCACTGCACCTAGCTGGAGGGCGCCCTACACTGCGTTTGCCTAGACGCGGTCTCCGCTCTAGAACACGTTTACCCCAGCGGTTATCGGTTCTTCGACAAATGTGACCGGCCCACTGCCACTTCAGCTTACTGATCTATATGCTATGATTTGTATCCTAATATTTATTTGTAAATCTCCAGTTGGAGGCAGAGTCTCGTCCGACAGCGATGGGTCCTCCCCCAACGTCTCACTTCCACGTCCTGTCTGACACACCGTCCGGACTGCAACCACTCGTCACACGACCCACGCAGCCTAGACCCGGTATGTATATTACTTTTGTGTTTACTCGCTATACTTATGTTTCTAGTTAAACTGTCAAACACCAAGCGGTCACCGGTGACCGAAACCTATTGTTCTATAATTGTGTCTACAAAACCGGTACTCGACGAGTTAAATATTGTGTTACGTGGATTAAATTGACTAAGAAATGTATTATGAAACTGATTGAAAATAAATTACTGTTGCATGATTGTAACGTAGGACATAATAATAATAAATACATTTTGGAACGGAAAAACATTCAAAAACCACATACACCATCACCAATTCACTTTCAAAAGCGTCTTTGAAGTCCGAATGGAACAAATGGTTTGATTATGAAACACTTCTAAAATGATATTATCATAATATTTTACAATAATAATGTATATCTGATTGCAGCGGAGAACGTGCCGAAGGTGGAGCCAGGACTTCCTAACGGTGCGGAGGCAGGAGCCGGGGCGGCGCCCCCCGTTGCGCCCGTCAAACCTGAACCGGCACTCGAACTCGGCACCGCACCCGGACTCAAACTCGACCAGGTACGTACAACATAGGTATAGAATATATTTTTATTGTAGATACGCTGTTTACCTATTGATTACAGATTCTTATATTTTGGTTATACTAACCCTCAATATATTTGAAAATCTTTAAAAGCTTAGCCTTATTATGCCTGTTGGCAACCATATGACAACACAGGTCAAGTGGAAAGTCACAGGTGTATGGCTCATTTCATACAGCGCTGTCCCTTCCTTTAGTCACTTGGCTACTATCGATTGACACGTACACGTCAAATAATTTCACCATAATAAACACAACATGGTGTTGCATGGGTTGTGCTGGCAATCGTTTGTGATTGATATATTGTACGTGTGGTATCCCGGCAGTACCGCTGCGGCGCGGGCGGCGGGCGCGGGCGCGCGTGGACGGAGCAGGAGACGCTGCTGCTGCTGGAGGCGCTGGAGCTGCACCGCGACGACTGGAACCGCGTCGCCGCGCACGTCGGCTCGCGCACGCAGGACGAGTGCATACTGCACTTCCTCCGCCTGCCCATCGAGGAGCCCTACCTGCACGACGCCACCGCCGGTACCCACATACGCATACTCTATTCATATCTACGTATACATACAACTACAGATGCTGCACTTTCAAGCAGAATTCTCAATCTAAATCCTATCTTTCCAGCAATAATCTAGCACTTGATAGATTATCTTGGTAGGAAATAAATCCATCACATTATAATATTTTTTTTCTATCGTAGGTGGCGTGCTAGGTCCCTTAGCCTACCAGCCAATTCCATTCAGCAAAACAGGCAACCCAGTGATGAGTACTGTGGCCTTCCTCGCCTCTGTCGTGGATCCACGCATCGCCTCCAGAGCCACTAAGGCGGCTATGGAGGAGTTCGCGGCTATCAAGGTAAGAATCATATACAATTTAGGGCGGTCATACGCTCGTGGTAGATCGGCGACGGGGATTCATCGTTAATTTGATTTATAATTTGAAATATTTGTGTATCAGGACGAGGTCCCGGCGGCCATGATGGAAGCCCACGTGAAGGCGGCGGGAGCCCACGGGCCGGCCGCCGCGCTGGCCGCCACCGGCATCGCCGGCACTGCGCCCGACCTCTCGCCCAGCGGTACTCACCGTCACTCACTGACTCACTCACATATTCACTTACCTACTTTCCTACTCACACTCATTCTGTAACTCGCTCCATTTTGCTCTGTTAGTGTTCGTACCACAAGTAAAGCTGCTCTTTCTAAAGTACAGATTTGTACAAAGAACAATTTGTAGGATTAGATAGATAGAATTCCATTGCTCATTAAAAATCTTTTACCTTCAGTTTACACTGCTTTGTCATGCTCATGACCAGCAATTCTATTTTTTTCATTTATTATTCATATAATTAAAAACTTTTACCCATTCACTCCATTAACTTTTTTATTCCAATGTCACCCTAAATAAGTAATTAATGATTGATATGCAGCTGAGGCGAAGAAGGAGGGCTCATCAGATATCAAGGCGGAGCCTATGGAAGTCGAGGAGGGCGAGGCCAAGGTCAAGGACGAGCCACAGGAGGCACCCGCCGCACCAGAGCCTGAGAAGGAACCTAAGGAGGAACCAGCAGCACAGGCTGGTGAGTGACACTAGTAACTACAACTTGAACAGTGAGAATGGTCTCGTAACCATTTCACGTTCTGGGGGGGGGGGGGGAAATCTCAACAGCACCTAATATATAGTAGTATATTAGTGTTAGTGTTCTAGTGTATACAATTAGTTACAAATACAATTTGTTCCCTCGCTCTCATGATCTGATGGACTGCTTATGGAAACAACCAGAGAGAAATCTGGCTGCGAATGCTGGGAAAAATCCCTTTGATAAATAAATAAAGTTTTTTTAGTCAATATTTGTAAACTTGAGGGTATAATGTAAACTGACTAATGGTTTGCCATTAACAAATATTTTATTAGTCAATAACATTATGCCATATTAGCGGTTTTAACTGATAAAATCCTGATAAAAATATATCAACATATATTTTTACGTATCATAAATTTTACATAATAAATACAACAGGTACAGAAAAAACAGAAGCTCCAGCGGCAGTGGACGCGAAGCTCCAGTCCGCGGCCGCCGCAGCGCTGGCCGCTGCCGCCGTGAAGGCCAAACATCTCGCGGGAGTCGAGGAGAGGAAGATCAAGTCACTCGTCGCGTTACTCGTCGAGACGCAGATGAAGAAACTAGAGATCAAACTAAGACATTTCGAGGAACTTGAAGCTACCATGGAGAGGGAACGAGAAGGTAAACATTGACTACACTAATCTAGATTATCTTTGTAAGGTTAGGTGGCAGTTTGTATAGATATAGCATAATATGTACTAACATAACATCATGCCTTTTATCCCCGAAGGGGTAGGCAGAGGTGCATATTATACCACTATACAATGTATGTATGTACTAATACATGACAAAATCTTTATTGCTTTAAATTGTGATGAAGAATCAGTTCGTAATAATCCATGCTAATTAATCACTATCCAACTTGCTTTTTGTAATCTAGTATTATTGTTCCTTGGTGTCACATCCTTTACACCTTTAATCTTCCTCTTGAATCTTGACAAGAGCCAGTATCTTTATCTTCCTATTAAAATTCATCTTTTTATGGTAATCATCATATCAATTAATTTATGTCTATTTTAATTAAGGATTGGAGTACCAACGACAACAACTAATTCAGGAGCGACAACAGTTCCACTTGGAGCAGCTCAAGGCCGCGGAGTTCCGTGCCAGGCACCAAGCACATCAGAGGTAACATCAACTACTCACTTACCTGACTATTGTACTGTTAGAATTTGAAAGTAACTGTGTCACAGCCTAAATGGGACATCATTGATGTGAATGAAAACTAGATTTTTTATTGTTTGATGTATTCAGTTTGGTCTTTGATTTTAGCTAAGTATTTGATTATTGATTGTAACTTTAGCTCCGATTGCGACATGTATGCCATCATAACTATAGACTAACATAACTATAGTATAACATAACTATAGGTAGACTAAAAAAGGCGGACATAGTCCTATAGCACCTGGATACTATAGATTTACACGCAGAACATATACACATTGACACGAAGCACATCTGTCAGTTTCTTAAGTCTGGTAACGTGGTAACCAATAGGATATTTATGATACACGCACATAATAAATAACTCACTGACATTATGGTGCGTCAATAATTTTTAAGTGAATTTTTGTCCACCTTTTTTTAAAGGTTCTCGACTAACTACTATCCTTGAAAATTATAGTAAATTATAATTTCACGTTATCGTTAAAACATTATAAACATTATGGTTTTGACGAAACCACTGTTAGTTCTGCATTATAATTAATCGTGTATTATCTTGTGATGAGAAAACAGTAATTTTTACATCATGAAGCTGAATCTAAGTATCAATTATATATTAATTCATATCGTCACCTAAAGCACGGTGCAACTGTTCCGGTCCAACTGTAGCAACAAACAGACTACAATACGTTACAATTGAGTTACTTGAGTGTTTACAAATAAACGGAAATCTACAATAGCCTTGATAGCACACATTTCATTTCGTTTTGTTCTCTACAATAGTGTATTCTGACGTTTTTAGGTAATTGGGACTCAATACTTATTTGTTTTGTTTGTTATACTACACGGAAATGTTGTGCTCGTTTTGTTTTCGTTGTGAATTAGATTAATGATTATTTATATTAGAGAATTAGAGGAGTCACCGACAGACCGATTTTTTTTTGATGTCAAAAAGTGCCTTTTACTGATCTAATTGTAATAAACGATTTTGACTTTGATTTCGTCCTAGGTTTAGGAAAACTAGTTTAGTTTGCAGAACACGGTTCTTTCTAATAAGTCTTAATTATTTTTGCTAGACCCTATGAGAGACGTTTTTAAGTTTTTGTCATTGACATGTATGTATTACGTCTGTGCGTGCAGGTTACAGGCCGAGAGTGGTGCAGCGGGCGCAGTGCCAGGCGCGGGCGGGGCGGCGGGCGCGGGCGCGGGCGGGGCGGCGGGGGCGCCGGACCCCGCGCCGGAGCCCGCGCCTCCCTCGCACGCCTAGCTGCGCCTCTACACGGACTACAAACACTAGCCATTAAGCATATATTAGCATAAGTAGACTTCAACATTATTGTATAGAGTTACATGTGAACGAGTGATCTGTATGAACGTGAACCTCGGATGTGGTGGAAGATCGATGTATTCAAGTATCCGTAATTATTTAATTGTAAGTGTACCTGTAGAAGCATATCGCCGCTATGAAATAAAACACTTCGGGTTGTAATGCTATTGTTTCAGTTGACGCCGTCATTTTGTCCCGCGTTATCGACCCCCCGGCTAACTGTTTACGTTCATTTCGTGCCTGAAAAACAATTATCGTATCATTTTATTGCTTTGACATGTTTTGGAAACATTTGATTCACAGTTGTACAGAAAACAATCTTAGGTGCAGTACTGCACGGAAATACCGTAAAAGAAATTTATATTAATTTAATTATTGAGATCTAAATAAATAATGTTTTTGATCATTGCTTTGACTTGTATAATTTATCACTCCGTCGCCGCCGACACCCAGGAGGTACAGGAATCCCAACAATACTATAGGATCTCTATGGTGAGTACATATCCAAGATGTTACACTGGATTATAGAGTAATATAAATTGCGGTTCAAAAGAACTGTACTTGATATACATAGTTCATTACATTTGAGCCAACAAAAATTGACTCTTGTCTCGACACTGATTTCTGAATAGCAACATGTAAGGATCAATAAAAATCAGACCATCCGTTAAGGAATGGAATATATGGAACATGTAATGTATATCTTAAGATTTTATTTAAATTTACGCCCCCTGCAACAATAACCAATATAGGCGAGCCAAATCGTCATAAACAGACATAATTTCAGCCAAGAATTTAGAAAACCAAAACGTCAGATTATAGACACTTTACCAAACCAAATTGTACAACATTAGGTGTCATCACACGAGAACCCAGGCAGCCCCGCCCTGTTCGTACACGGGGAGAGTCCCGTGTGGGACCCCGAGCAACAGAGTCTCTACTTTGTCGACGTACGCGACAGCAACGTACATCGACTCGACTATGTATCCGGCAAGATTTATACTAAACATATCAGTAAGTAGTGTTTTAAAAGAATTTAGACTTGGTGTTATAAGGATGGCAACACATTTTATATATGCGCTTAAAGGGTCCGTTTCGAATCTCTTAAGCTTTCTTTTGCTCTAAAGGGCAGAAAGAATTAATTCACTGTGATTTGTTATATTTTTGGAGTAGTTTGGAGTAAAATATTCCATAAGGTCCAACTTGCAAATAATTAAGTTTAATAAAAATGGTTTAAAATCAATAATTTATATGTTTATCTGGTTACATAAAACGTCACTGGCAATATTACTGAATGAGAGAGTCACTGGATGAGGAAACTACTGGTTAGATTAGTACTATCCGTTGTCTCACGGGATGACAGGCAATGCCCTGGGTGGTCACACACACATGCTTAAAGTGCATACAATGTATAATAGATTCAAATAAACAATCCTTAATCACAATATCTAGATCTCTGATATGATTTTTGACAGAAACGTTACTAATAGATATAAAAAATCGGCAGTGAATAAATTGAAACCCCTGTAGGGACACTTGTAAGTATGTTACCCCTATACTTATTATACTCTTTGGAGTATGTATGGCAGTGTAAACAAAAACGTATGAGATCGTGAAGCATGCACGGAGCGGACGTTACTGCGCACTGGTCAGAGTGAATGGTTCTGTTTCATTCAAAAAACTATCTTCTCTGCCACAGAACTTTTTTGTATGTCCCATGTTGTGATTGGGACACCATTCTGTCTTACATTGTCAAATGCAAGGAGGACAATGAGCGTAGTATTACATTAAAGATCGATATTTGCAGACTACGGTGAAGTCAACGTGGTATCCCTAGTAGCGGGCTCCCACCGGCTACTGATAGCCGTACGCTCCTCCCTGTACCTGTTAGACTGGGCTATCGCTGGAGACTCAGCGCTACGGCTACTGACCACTATGGACGTGGGTCTACCTGACAACGTCATCAATGAAGGGAAACCTGACGCTGAAGGGAGGTTTTGGGCAGGTAGCTGGAGTATTTTTTTTAATTATCGTTGCATTTTTCTCTAATAGTAGGTAAATGTGTTGTAGAAAATACTTTGGATAAGTGACTATTTAAGTAGGTAATTGATCTTCTAAAGTGATTAAACTGGTTGACTGTGTCGTTATGCCACTCATTATTCAGTATCATAGAATCATTATACAAAATATTGCTATTAATTATTTAAACAAGGGCAAACTTCTCGTAGAAAACAATAGTAAGCATAAGACTACAAAAAAACTTCAACCAACCAATAACGAAATTAAGGAAAAATATGTTCCTGTAATTGCTAAACTAGACCTTTCTAACTTTTCCTAGTTATATTTGCTATCTTTCGTTGAACAGGTACAAAAGGCCCACAGACAGGTGACGAAGTCGTTCCAGACAAGGGATCATTCTACAGTGTGGAACAAGAAAGTTTCACCCACCCTCGCACGCAACTGCGGCCAGTTTCCATCTCAAACGGCATCGTGTGGTCACTCAACAATACAGTGCTGTACTACATCGACTCGCCCACGCAGAAAATTGAAGCTTTCGACTTTGATTTGCAAAGAGGAGACTTATGTGTGTATTTTTAAGGTCTTAAATGCTGTATTGTTTCGGACAGAGAATTCCTAGAGTTTATATTATAACTTTCGTGCGACATACTAAATTAATTATTATGTTTATGACATGAATATGAGCCTTTAGCATGGTTGTTTGTTGCATTGAAACTAATCGAGATCTTCGTCAAACAATTTATATTTTCGGCTTACTCACGTAGAGTAAGCCGAAAATATAATAATTATTCCTAGGGTAATTATTCTATGAAGTGTTTCCAGCCTCGAAGATAATTGAAATGAAGGTAAATCCAGCTTATAGTAGTCAAATATGGGACAGTGAAGATCCTACTACCTACAACCATTACCTGGACTATCTAGGGTACAGAATGTTTAATAAAATGGGTTCTTTCTGTTCCTCCTAAACATGTCAACCTACATTTAATTACGAAGACAATGAAGTTGAAAATTAACCTTCAACGCGTCAGTACTTAAAGGTCTCTGCACACAGCGGGCGCGGCGCGGCGGGACGGGACGGCGACGCGACACTGAACAGGTGTAATGTACTACGTCGAGCGAGACGACTGTGTGTCCATAGTATCTAGTACATTACAACTAATTAGTGTCGCGATTCGTTCCGTCCTGCCGCGCCGCGCCAGCTGTGTGCAGAGACCTTAATACTTTTTTTCTGCAGCCGCTAGAAGAACGGTGATAGACATATCAAGCGTTGGCTACGAGGACGCGATCCCTGACGGCATGACCATCGACAGCCACGGGAACCTCTGGATAGCTCTCATGTTTGGCGGCACTGTGAGTAGAAATTGCCCTGTCAAACTAGACTCTAGTTTAGTGTTTCTCAAAGATTATTCTTGTAATATTTTTACCTGCCTATTCAGGACCACCGTAACACTTTTATATCTAAGCTGGTGAATCTGGTGATAGCTAAGCAATTAGGTCAAATATTACAAGAATGTTCGTAATAAACAGATACAGGTCGCTTCTATAGATACCTATAATTTTAATTGCTTGTGTTCAACAATGGAAGCCTGATTAGTATGGAGGTAGAAATATTATCTACTTCAAAATTGACATACTTATTACTTCATTCGCAGGTCCTACACGTGGACCCAGACACCAGACAAATAGTGTTCGGCTACAAGCTACCTGTGTCCCGAGTAACGTCAGTCTGTTGGGGCGGGCCCAACCTGGACGAGTTGTTCGTGACAACTGCTCGAGACAACTTAGATGCCGCTGCGGAGCCGCTAGGGGGCGCTATCTTCACGATACGAGGCACTGGGAGTCGTGGCGTCGAACCTCATACCTTCCGATTCGATAACGCAGATTTTTACTGATCAAATTGTATTTAAGATAAAATAAAGTAGTATTTTTATAATATGGGTTTTTTATTTAATTCAGAACATCAAGTTGCCCTTTTTGATTCGCGGAGAACCTAACGGGTAACCGGGGCTCCGGCTCGACGTACAGGAGAAGGAACGGGGTGGTTTTTAGTCAGTAAGAGTCTGACACTCCCTCCCGCCTCACCCAGGCGGGAGCAGTCATTTTTGATCACGCACAAGGTCAAATCTATTACTTAAAGATATTTTATAGCTGTAAGAATTAGGTTTCTTATTAAATAAGTTTCAATAGTACTTTTAGGTAAAAGTGAATTGCTTCTGCAGCGCTCCAGTTTTTAATTGTGAACGCGTCGACTGATTTATCAGAATTATAAAAAAATACAGTTGAGATCAGTTTACTTCTTTTAATAGAGACGCAAGTACTTAGGGACTGCTTAATTTTTATACATTTCTCATACGTACTTCTGCGTACCACGAACGAGTGGAATTCTTTGCCACAGTCTGTTTATCCTGAATGGTATTTTTTTTTAAATGGGACAAGCCCGCTACAACCTCCCAAAACCGCTGCAATCCTGAAGGGTATATATAACCTGGGTGTCTTCAAGGCTCGAGTGAAGAGGTTGCCTATGGGACGACGTGCTCAATCGTAGACCGCATCATCGCTAACCACCAGGCGAGATAGTGGTCAAACGTCGGCCCATCAAATATGAAAAAGAAACACTTAAATAGTAGACATTTCACAATAGTACATTTCACGAGCAATTAGGCATGCTTTACTTTAACTAATACCGTACAAGCGTACACGTCTGAATACCAAACCTGGTATAAGGTGTCTTAGGCAACAAACATTTACTCGAGAACACTAATTAATACTAATAGCTTCGTACATGGTTAAATTGTGAGTAAATTGATTTAAAATGGAACACATTACTTATCGGTGGGAAGCAAAATTATTTAGAAGTTTGACGTAAATAGTGCACGCAAGTAATTATTTTGTATAAATAAATTATTAAACTTAAATAAATAAATATTTAATCATGTATACGTGGGTTATTGTTACGTTTTGCCATTTATATTTTATCGAACCAGTCATTCTGTATCACGTAAGTCCTGATTTCTTAGATTCATAATTTTACCTACTTTACAAAAAAAGATTTTGTAGAGCTAATACCTATCATAATAACTATAATTGATAGCCCATCATTGTCTCAAAATAGTCTATTCCCCGTTTTCGTTTTCTTAACAAATCTTTATATTACAAAAATTCCCTACGTTTTATACTCGTAAAATACTATAACCTATCCATACATCTTCGGCCTCTTACTTTTTTCCTTGCTAAGATATAAAATTGTTTTGATACAGGTAAAACATATAACACCAAATCAGTTTAATACATTTGAGTACACGAATCTTACATTCTCTCACGCGGAGAGTCCGGTATGGGATCCTGACATCGAGACCTTGTACTGGGTGGACGTGCTGCAACAGGACGTGCACTCTCTGGACTATAAAACCAAGCAACATAAGGTTAAACATATTAGTAAGTATCAATCTCCTTTGAGGAACCACATACTGCATACATGAACCCGTGCCGCGGAGAACTGAACGGGTTACCGGGGCTCCGGCTAGAAGTGCAGGAGTAGGAACCCGGTGGTTTTTAGTCAGTAATAGTTTGACACTCCTTCCCGCCTCACCCAGGCGGGAGAAGCCATTTGATAATTTTTTTTTATTTTTTTAAATCTGACCCGCAATTTTGCGTATGTCCTTTTCCGTACTCCAAAACTCCCAACAGTAGGTATATGAGGTAGGTACCTATGCACATAATAAATAAGGAATTCCACACACTTGCAACTGTTAACTGTCTTCCAGACTACGGCGAGGTGAACATAGTGATTCCAATAAAGAATAGCAGTCGACTGTTAGTTGGCGTCAGGAACGAGCTGCACATAATGGACTGGAGTTTGCCCGGGGATTCTGCCCTGAGGTTCGTGGCGGCTTTTGACCAAGGCTTGCCTGACAACATTCTGAACGAAGGGATCGTCGACGCTATGGGCAGATTTTGGGGAGGTAACTTATCAACACACTTATTGCATCGTCATTGTCTCTCCACATTATCTTACATCATCGGTTACCACCAGGTGAGATGGTGGCCAAACGCCATCTGTTAAATATTTAAAAAGAATTCGTGATACAACAGAAAAACAATGAAAAACATATAAATATTTTCTGCTTTAGAATAAATTATTCGCTCTCTGTTGCAATTCAAATAACATAACACCACGCCTTTTATCCCCGAAGGGGTAGGCAGAAGTGCACACAGAAGTGACACCCAATTTTCACTATTTATGTTATAAGTCCCATGTGATAGGTGGTGAGCCTATTGCCATATACCGGCCACTCGGCCAACGAGGCAGTCTTAATAAGTATCATCAGTTTTTATTTATTTCTAAAGGAACAAAAGGTCATCAGCACGGCAATGATGTGGTTTACGACGAGGGTGCGCTGTATAGTCTGGAGCCGCCTCACTTCGTGCCACAGATCCGACTGAAGCCGGTATCCATATCTAACGGACTCGTCTGGTCACTGAACAACACCATAATGTATTATATCGACTCGCTCTCAAGGAGAATTGAAGCATTCGATTTTAATTTAGAAAGAGGACACATAAGTAATTATAAATTATTTTTTATTAACTGACTATTTAACTGCACAGTTAGCGTGGTGGCTGTGCAACCGGCTGCCGCGCAACGTGTAGCAAGTTCGATTTACGTACGGAGCAAGTTTTTGTGTGATCAACTAATTGTTGTATTGGGTCTGGGTGTCGAGTGTATGTTTGTAAACGCACCCAGGACACAGGAGAACATCCTGTTGCGTACGTTTACAAAGAAAACAAAAAAGGGAGTAGGTTAATTTTTGGGCAAGAAATAAAAACTCAATGTTTGATAATATGAGCGTAAGCCAAAGGTAAAGAAGATTGACAGGGCTAAAAAGATGGCCAATCACCTTTGGAATTTTGCACAGTATTTTCCAATGGGTTTGTCTGTGTCTCTAAGTATTATAAGAACCTTGGAAGGAGATTAAAATGCATAGAACTGCCAAAGAATTGATGCACATATTAATATACCTTTATGTATTTAAAGTTACACAAAACCAACGTTAAAAATGTTGTTTTATAGACTCGTGTGTTGTCTATTATTTTAAGGCAGACGTCGTACGATCCTGGAATTAGACGAATATTGGGATGACGAAGTTATAGCAGACGGTATGACTATCGACAAGGATGGATTCATTTGGATAGCTCTTATGTTCCATGGCTGTGTAAGTATTCATGCATTGGTCCAGAGCTTATTATAAACGATGATACTATGATGGCCGTCAAACTAAAGCTATTAGATTAGATTATAAATTATAAAAACACGAGTTAATCTATAGAATGTTGATTTTTTTTACAAATCTGCCATTTTATTTATCCAACTTGTATTTGCGCAGCAATCTGCACAAAGAATAAACTTTTGTTACACTCATTTACAAGGCAGACCTAAAAAGAAAGACGTATTCATTCAAGCGATTTAAATGTTTTTTGATTGGGCAACTCCGCCTTATCCTCCCAAAACAGCTACAACATCTATTCTCCAAAATAAATGTACAATTTGATTAATATATCCGCAGATAGTACGCATCAACCCTGACAAGAGGACAATAGTGGAACGCTACAAGCTGCCTGTTACTTTAACAACGTCATTAACCTGGGGCGGGCCCAAACTGGATGACCTGATCGTCACCACTTCTAGAAGGAATATGAGCCCCGAAACATTAAAGCAACAACCACTGGCTGGCTCCGTCTTCATTCTACATAATATGGGCACTTCTGGTGTCAGAGAATATAAATTCGTTTTTACTAACGCTGATACTTATAAATAAAATTGAACTATTTAGTTTATTTTGTATTATAACGAAAATTACTTGCGATACTGTCTTTGAATTTGTCCCATAATTGAATTTGTTAGAAATTGATACATACATATCATTACGCCTTTTATCCCCGAAGGGGTAGGCACACAGAAGTAACACCCACTTTTCACTATTTATGTTATGAGTCCCATGTAATAGGGGGTGAGCCTATTGCCATATAACGGGCACATTTCCAGACTCCGTGCTACCACTGACATTTTTTTTTAAAACACAGTAATACTTTGCCCGACCCGGGAATCGAACCCGAGACCCCTTGCCCGGTAGTCGAACTTGCGACCACTCGGCGATCGAGGTAGCAGTTAATATTGATGTGGTGAGATTATTGTTACGTCATTCAACATAGATATTTCATCTCCTGAGGTTTGTTTAAAAGAATAAAACTGCAATGTAATTATTAATGAAATAATTTATTAGAGCACATGAATACAACCAGAGTAATGTAACAAGAGATGTATAACATTTTAGACTCTATCAATAAATAACATCTAAACAACGTAACGGCACATGACAACAGCGAGGAGTGACTAGATACAGTCCCGCGCCACAACCAGGACTAACTGCTTCTATCAATTTACCACGATCCACTTTCCAAAAAGACGAATTTTCAAAAGTTTAGCGAAAATTTCAAATTCAATATTACATTTAAATAGTAAAACTTTTATTAAATCATTATTAAAAACTTTGAGACTCCCACCGAAATTATGTAAAGATGCTTAAATTTTGTACAACGCGACTTAACATCTAACGAATAGATCAATTGCATGTTGTTACAATAACTTTGTTTAGGCACATTTTTCATAATATTATACAAAGAATATTGTAATCAATGAACGATAAAAAGCTCTATTAAACCGACTTATAGTTAAGATATTAACTTATGTATACTATACGGACATACACACGTACGCCAAGATTGAAGTACATAGATTAAAGTCCTCACGAGAGAGGTATCAAAAGTTTTAAGTAGGAAGCTATGTAACAGATGTAGAAGAACTAAAACTATTTGTTTGTTCTCTCGTTAAAAAAATAATTATTGCTTCACTCCTCTGCCCTTTATACATTTAAAATATGCATCTAGAAAACTACAACTGGAATATAATTGTCTTTCGGACTTTATTATGAGTTATGTATCTTCTTAAAATGAGCTAACGACCATAAACTTCACTTGCATAACCCGTAAATATAACAACACCCCTTAGAGTAATTGACACCAAACCAAACACCCTAAATATGACTTGTTGCCAGATGTTGAACGTGTCTATGTACTACGAACGGACCTTGCATACTTTTGTAACCTATCAACTATTCGATATAAGAGCACTGGCAGTGGTGTGGCTCGCAAATCCGATACATTCCCTTAACGCCTGAATACTGTAACGCTACTCAATTTAAGTTGTATATAAATATCGTGCCATCTCTGTCATGTTACTAAGAATTTGTAGTGACAGAACTATTCTAAAGCGCGACTTAAAATTGAGAGACGTTTGAGTAATTCAGCGTTAATTCTTACAATTTACACATACATTATTACATTATAGACGCAATTCCCATACTATTATTTGCTTCATTACTGCACTTATAAAGGAAATCGAAATATTTTCCAAGTCGATGTATTTCACCTTCTCATATTACATTTTTGTGCCACTAGAGGCGCTAGCATAGCATAATGACAGGGTCTTATAGCTCACTAGCGCCATCTAATGATCGCAATTTTTTTTTAGACTGGATGTTATTTTTAATTAGTTTTATTCATCAACCCAGTGAACACGCCGAAGTCTTATTTACGACAATTTTTATAATTAATACACTACTTTATATCGATATTGATGTTTCCTTTTGTGCTTACATGAACTTCTACAATTAGCAAATAATGCTAGGTTAAGGATACCTACATTGGTATCCAAATAACATTTTATATTTGGCTAGCTATTATTAAACGTAAAACATTACTCTAATTAAATTCTAATATTGATAATATTCCTTCGCATAAATTCCTCGTTTAAAGACAACTTTAACTGTGAAATATAATAAACAAACTTAACCGTTTATGAGCAAAGTTTTAGGACGTAATCCAAAAATAAAGACATTTCCAACAACATTGTATAAATAACGAATATTTTAAAATATATTCATTAACGTGTGTAATAATAATTAACGTGTAATATTAATTAATATTATGATTTGTCACATTGAAACAATTATTATGTGAAGCAAATATCTTAATTTGCGTAGCGATAAAATATAATTACTTATAAAATATATTTATAAATTAAATATCCTTCTTAATAAATTATTTTCTCAAATCCTGACAACGATATAAAATAGAATGAGTTTTAGTATTGAACATTATCACAAATGTCTACAGTACTAAGTTAGTATAATAAAATAATTCCCATTAAATATCCCGCATACAGAGAGCCATTACACATCACTAGTAGTAATATCACCGTTAACTTAACTACTCATTGAACGAAACTTATCCCATTTTGTCGAATAGGGTAGATGACTTAATTTAAAATTTTATTTAATTCCATTAGTACAGATACAGACGATAGATTGAAAACGTACACAACATTAACATGTCATAACATCACGCCTTTTACCCCGAAGGGGTAGGCAGAGGTGTACATTACGGCACTTAATGCCACTGTACAATGCAACACACCCACTTTTCACTATTTATGTTATGGGTCCCATGTAATAGGGAGTGAGCCTATTGCCATATACCGGGAACAACTCCGGACTGTGCTACTACTGAGAATTTAAAAAAAACGCTGTAATACATTGCCCGACCCATGAATCGAACCCGAGACCCCTTGCCGCCGCAGTCGCACTTGCGACCACTCGGCCAACAAGGTAGTCGTACTAAAAATATTTTATTATTTATATCAGATCAATCAACCTGCATGAATTAGACAAAACGAAATAAGTTTCAAATCAACATGTACCAACCAACACTAAATATATTATAATAAATAATACCTCTTATACCTTTACATCGACGGAGTACTTGATACATCGCCTCACTCAAAATATACATAATAGGGAGGATGAACCATTTTTAACATCACACAAAACAAATTTTATTAAAAACAAAGTTCGACGACGTAATTCTGATTTCAAATGTCATATGACGTCACCTAAGTAAACATTGCATGGATATTTGTTAGCGACGTAGACGTCTTTTTTATCTTCTTTTTTGAGAAAGTCTTGAGAACTTCGTCGTCGTCTTTTGAGAACGAAAGACGTCTTTTTTATCTATATTTAATTAAAGGCTTTAATGGCCGCATCACCCAATCCTTACAAAACAAAAAAAAAACACATGTGAAATAGTTTTCCCTTACTTATCTGAAGGACTTAAGCAGATGTTAATTCATCAACCCTATTTCCCTTTGCCTAAACGCGTGGTGCGACGAGCCCGCTCATCATGTCGAAGGTATTACCGTCTGGAGCCACGGTGACCTCGCCCCCAGCAGTAGTGACGACGAGCCAGCCTGCCTCGTCCAACCCCTTTATAGTACCGTCCACTGGTGTCGATGTCGCCTCGCTTTTTATACGGATTGATTCACCACTAAAAAAAAAATAAGGTGCGAATAATATTATTAACATAAAGTTTATCATGTGCAAGCGATTTTATACCTTCTACATTTTTAAACAGTGATTGTTGTTTTTTAGATAGCTTTTTTATTTTTATAAAAACGTTCCCCACACTAGGATTTTCTCCTGTGTGCGTTTAAATGTTCACATACACATGACACCCAGACCCGAAACAACAATTTGTGGATCACACAAATAGTTGCTCCGTTCGGGAATCGAACCCGCTGCACGTTCCGCGGCAGCCGGTTGCCCAGACACCGCGCCAACTATGCAGTTAAATTTGACGACATAGTTTTTGTAACAAAATCACAGTAACTTTAGGCTCTGTACCTATTTGAATGAAAAGTAAAGCTTTTCTCAGTATTTTCACGTGATTAACCCGTGATTTTAAGTTAATTTAAAAGCTATACTTACGTATGCAACCAATACTGATAATACTGTTCGAAGAAGGCATCGATTCCTCCGTCGGAGCTCATGTAATCGATTATCCGCTCGAGTTGCGAGCAGTATCTCGCTAGGAACTTCTCAATCGATATCAGAGGTAGAGCGGTGCCGTGCTGTTTGTTGTGTTCCGTTATAATATCGTTCAGACACACTGTCGGGGCGCTATTCGATATGTTTACACCGGTACCTGAGAAATGAGCGAATATCCAAAATGAAAGCTGCCCTATATTATTAGAGGTATTTTTCTCAGTTACCTACATTAAATTAGTAGCTCTTTAGAGAGTATTGTGTTGTTCTTTTACTCTTAGCGCAAGTTAGCGCATATCAATATTTAAGTTGCGCATAGATAACACAAAGTTTGCGCAAATACGGGAAAAGTTACCTATATTTCTACAAAAATGTTACAGTACCTAGTGTAGGAATTCACTGATTAGTTCGAAAACAAATATTTGCGCAAGATTGCGTAAATAAGAAGGTAAAGTAATACAATTACCTATATTAACGTAAACTTGTTCACCGATGCAGTTGGCAGTGGTGATGGTGCCACCGATCTTGACGTCACGACCAAAGTATATGTCGTTTGGCCACTTTATCCTATAAAATAAAAAACAACGTTAATTGGTAAAAGTTGCATTTGCCAACTTCATCATCCGCCATGATTCTTGTCTGATAGAAAATAATGAATGAGAGAGAATATTTTGTACCGATCACAAAAAAGTTGGGAAATGGACAAAAATAATCAGGAGATGGCAACTAGTTAAATAATTATTATATTACCTAATATCCAAATGTTCGTAAGCAGGTTGGGACCGTATGGCCCGCACGGCGGCCAGCGCGGCGGCGTGCTGTACTAGCGGGAGACACGGGGATACTTTCATCCAAACCTATAAATAAAATAATGAGATTTTAT